CACTTCTTTCTCTTTTACTCCGACGAAGGACTAGCGTCCGAAACGTCAGTAAGTTTTTTCATCTTTTCACGGTGTATAATTTACCTTTTCATCATTACAGTTTCATTAGAAACACCGACGCAGCTCACACTAGTTTTTAGCTAGTTATGTCTTTTTAAACAGACAAATGAACGAATGAAATTAGAAAGCTGTTGAAGCAGTAAATCACAATTACCTCTTTTTGCCTTCAAACTCTGTATTCTCCAGACAGTCTTATAAATCTCAAAATTATAATTTGATGGAAGCTGTAGATCAAAATGAAGAGTACTTTATAAGAAAATGCATTTGGTAGACAGCCTTCTTTGATAAAGGTATAAATGATGTTAGCATAAACCTACTAAGAATCTATCATAAATCCTGCGCTTCGATTGGCTTAGCTACTAGTGGTCTATTCACCCCTTCGTGATAACAAAATGGCAGCTTTCTTTTTAATTTGACGTTCCAGGTGCCCAAATAAAATGGCAGATTCTTAAGTTTTAAATCTAATTTTAAAAATGTTTTTATCCATTTATTTTACCAATGATATGAAAAGGTTTATATGTAATATATACAGTATGAGTGGCCGTGTTGTATCAGATATACAACCACGAGGCGTAGCCAAGTGATTGTATATCTGATACAACACGGACACGAATACTGTATATGACATATCAAACGTCTAGGTTAGTTCCTTTGTGTTTCACTAAAATTTTCAAAATTAAAGTGAATTTGGCCAAGAAAATCCAACTTAAAGTTTATGCAAATGAACACAGTTTTGTATCAGATTTACAACACTCTTCACAGTCGTGATTTCTGTTGTGTTTTCCTCATGAATTATTAATGAGTTTGATAATACCAATTATTACTAGGTTTATATTAAGACAGCCTCATGTGCTATTGACTCGTAGACCATTTGGACTGGACTTATGATTGACCATTTGGTCAATCATAATTTGTTAATACTACCAACCTGTTTTACAGCTTCTTGTAGTTGAATATTATTTAATATTTCATTAGGTATCTGAGTCACTGTCCTCTGAACTACATTACCACTTTCTTTAAAAAGACAAGAGAAACAAGACAACAAAGTAAATATGGTACTATGTAGACATTGCACATCATAACAGGCTCAAAATAACAGCCATTCAATGCACAGTTTGACCATGCCGATAGCAAAGTTAGCACTGACGTTACCCATTGATATTAATGTGCCAACCAGAGATCTATTGGCTATTGAAATATAGAGACTTTTGTTTTAATGGTTGGCAAACTTGAATGAGAAAAGATTCCTGATTGTCATAATGAATATTGCTACAGAGGCTTATAACGTGCACCATAACATGATGACCACCATGACAGAAGACAGGAACAAATGAATCTGTTCTAATCTCATTTACATAAGAAAAGATTCAGTTTCCCAGTGGGAAAAGTCTCCATTGTTGTGCCTCCTGTCATGGCTACCATCATGTGATGGTGCCTCTATATTAGCACTTATCCAGTAAAAGCAATTTTATGTGTAGGCAGGTCTTTTGACCAGTCACATTCACTGGTAATTTAACAAATACATGTAGATCAGTGATGTATGTAGCTGGTGATCATGTCCAGCCATTTGAGCACACCTTATTTTTAGCTTACCACTAACATACTATGAATGACACAGAGAATATAGGGAGGAGGGGGGAGGGGGGGGGGGCAAAAAGCCAACATTAATTACGTAATTTCTTAATTATGCAATTTATTTTTTATTTTCAATTTAAAAAAAAATAAGGAGTTGATAGAGTTTCTGAGGATTTGGTGTTAAAACTTTGGAGGTTTTGCTTTACCTCAGAAAATATGCTTTATTCCTTAAGAATGCTTTAAATGAGCGTTGTCTTCGATTAATCTCCCCTCTAGCGACAGGGTCCATATTTTAGCACGAGCTTTGAAAACAGTCTCTAAGCTTTTTTGAAGAACTACCGCTAAATAAATGGGCACATAAAAAAAATTCAGGAAAAGCGGAGAAAAATCGTTCTTAACTGTTTTTCAAAGTCGTTGCATTTAAAAAGAACAATTCATTCATTGAAGTCTTTGTCTTTTTCATAAGCTTATTTACTTTCGTCAAAATTGTCTGGGTCTGTAAGCGACTTTGACTTTGGGCCCAAGACAATGTAATAAAAGCAAAAAAAAGTGGAATTAGTCAAACTTACCGCTTAATGAAGTCGCATTTTTGGCGGCAGCAGACTTGCTCCCTACAAATCGTCTTCTGTTACCCTTAGCTGAAACCTTTGTGACTGTACTAGTTTGTTGTTCGTCAAGGTCCGCCATCTTGAACATCTGATAGAAAAGAGGGGGACTGGTCGGGGAAAATATTTTTCCGATGGGAGGGGAGGGGAGGGTAGGAATAGGGTAGTTCAAAAACTAGTGGTAACCTCAGGTTAAGTGCGGGCGTAGAACATTGGTGGAAGATATTCTCAATTTATTTGAGAGGCTTGAGTAGCTATTAATATATGGAGAGGCAGATGCAAGTGAGTATTTAGTGATTTGGTTGGCCTATAAAGAAGGTTATCCCTGTGGATCGAATTCCCTCACGTACGCGTGAAGACCTGTTGGAGCACTGGCCTAATCTTGTAAACCTGCATTCCTCGCATTCTTTACATTCCAGTTGGAAGAAAGCTGTCTAGTCTCTCGTATTCCGCGGGCCCAGGCCCCTTGGCTTTTTCTCATCAAGATTATGCTTGCGTGCTCCTCTTGTCGCCCGCAATAAATCCTTATTTTTAAGACTTTAAAGTCTTACTCAATAAACAGAATAAAACTAAATCCGTATACATAAATTATGGTTTTATTTACTGCATTACAATTTTATTTTTGATATAAATTAAACTGTTCCAGGAAATAATACTATACACATGAAGACTTCTTACTGCAGTTTTCGATATTTTGCGAACTTTATGGTAGTTGCGAGCTGCACTCCAAAATTTGATTTTTCGCTGCCGTCAATCAAAAATAATCAGTCAGTACCTTTTGTATTTATGAATGGCAGCAGCAGAAAACCAATTTAACAACAAGCCATTGTGGTCAGAGTTCGCAGAATATGAAAAACCACATTAATAGACATTTTTAGCTTGGGCTTTCGTTTTTCCCATAATTGTTTTCAGACAATGTGTTGTTACTCGAGRAGAGGACTTCTTTGTTTCAATTGCATCCAAATAAAGAAATGATACTCAAGGGAATAACATGTGGTCTGAAATGAGCGAAACATTATGCCCAAGTTTAAAGGAACTTTAATCTTATATAAAGAAAGTTGAATAATAGCTGCGATATTGTGTTTCTGTAGCCTTCACGACTTCTTCAATAGTATACATACATAACACTTTAAAGTGCGTTATAACTCATAACGACTAGAAGAAGAATATATCCTAGTGGCATATGATGAACCATTTTTGATCACTGAAATCCTGAGATTATTACAGTATTTGAGTTTCAAGCATGGCAAAGCTCATAAAGAAAGCAAAAAGCAGCTATTGTTTCTCAATTTTGAGGGGGAGAAGACGGGGTGGGGAAAGGTTATGAGCAACATAACTTTAAAAAAGAAACCACTTCTGATCCACTTTAAAGGAGGCTTATTCAAAATACCATTTCCTTAGACAGAATCTAAGGGGATGTCTGTTGAACCTTTAGTTACCAGTAAAAAAGAAACAATCTCTGATTCATTTTTTTCTGTCTATTGCTTGAAGACAGTACTTTCAACCTGGGATTTGTAACATTTAGCCAAATGTACTTAGCCAAAGTTCTGCAAAGGATTTCAAATTCGACACTGTCTTAAGAAAAATAATTTTACACAGAGTTTTTCACATACATTGTACGGTACAACATAAGAGTACAATCTGAATTCTGCATGCAATGCACAAACAGGTTCTTTGATTTCCCAAGGCTACTCTTGCTTTCCTTCTTGATAATAGCCTGTTTTCAGCTAGAACAAAACCCTGGTTAGGCCATAACTTGCAGGCTACTTGAAGTATGTTGATTATTATTTGTATAATTGCATTTGATGTCCTAGACTTTCTACTTTAGTGCTGTTTAATAAAGCATCTTAAATTTACCACTAAATATTAAAGTCCTTGATAAGAATCTCTGGTGCCAAGGGAATTATAACCCAGTGCAAGTACATTAGTACTTGAGGCTTTAATATATCCTACAATATATATTTACTTTTGATAGTTGAAATCCATTAAARCTTCAATGTTCAGTAATTAATAATTTAAGTCCTCTTGAATAAGCATGGACTATCGACGTCTCTTCGTAGAGCTCGGAGCAGGATGGGGTGATGACGGTTGYGAGGAACTGGCGCTGTTTACATTTCGTGTTCTCTTTCGCTTTGGTGATGAATCAGGTGTAGAGACATTGGAAGGGTTACTAGCGAGACCCTGAAGTTTCATCTTAAGAAGTGCTAAAATACATAAACAATGTTATAACATCATTCATATACAAAGGACAACTCATATTTCCTTTTTAAAAATAACCTTATTGAGAATTGATAACTTATCTTTGTTTTCATTGTAATGCACAAATCAAGACAACAGTCACAACAGGGCAATAGACTGCTATCAATCAAATAAATATTTCCATATTCTTTTCAACGATTCTGTTTAACCTTTTCTAATGATTACTTTGATTGATGGGAGTCTATTATCCAATTAACCTGTTGCGACTATAGGTGGACATAACGTTTATAAACATTGGCCATTAATGTGACAACCATTTTAAAAAATAGGGTTTGTCACTTTGCTTTATTGGATTGTCCAATATATTCCTGGTTGGCAATTTAAATAGCATTTAACCAAAACAATTTTTGTCAATGTATACCCACCCACCTATTGTATCAATCAGTGTGAATATTCATGAAAACAGTTCACTTAGTGATAGATGAGAAGTTGGTTCAAGGTCAAAAACAGTAAAGATGTTTGGAAAAAATGTATTATATTGCACAATTATATGTTCGAAAGATAAGATATGAATATCTATCTACTGGGTTAAAAAAATAAATTTTAACAGTCCCTTTTTTCTCCAAAGTTTCTAAAAATTCAACTCTTTGTTGAGTGACGTAAAATCAATGACATACCTTCATCAGAAGTCCCTGAAGATTCTGAAGTGTTCGCCAATTGATTTTTTCGACTTGATTCAAATATTTCATCTGGAAGACTGAACTCGGTCTCGTCATTTGGAAATGGAAGACTCTCAAGCTCATCCTATTAAAATAGAATATATATATATTTCTCTTTAAACAATGCACATAAAAAAGTGGAAAAATACCTTGTTATAACTTTTCAGTGTAATCAAGGAGCTATAGAGCTTTTACATTTTCCGTCAATTATGTATGGAAAAAAAGACTTCCAGGTCCAAAACAAAAAGCAGTTTTAAAAGATTCTGAAGATTTTTCTAGCTTTTTTTCATCAGCTTGGCAGGATTTTGTGTCCAAAGTTTTAATTATTTCATGAGTTTAAATCATGGGGAACATTTTTCACTTTATTTTTAGCAGTTTTTATGAGTAGTTGGACCCGGAAGTACGTCACAACTGAAGCTCAAAACTCGGTATTTTAAATACTCTAGAACCCATGCCCCACTCGGTCTAGTGACAGACAAAAACAAACAGGGAAGAGGGAAGGGCACAAAAATATCTCAAGATATATATTTTATTCGGTTGAACTCCGTTACGATAGAGACATTCATTTATTAAATAAATTGTTGTTTTTAACTTTATAGGAGAGGAGGGCTCATAGTTCTTGAGAGGGGACTGCAAAGACAATATACTTAAAAATTGCAAATAAATATTTTTACGAACTAAGCTTAAACGTGAGAAATAAGTTTTAACACAAAAACGTGTTTGTCAGTTTAAAGAAGTTTCATAGCCTAATAAAAATGAAAAAAATAATCCCTACCAGTGCTTGCATGTTGTAGAGCTCGTGTAGATGATCCCATATCTGTTTGGAAGAAATGTTTTTCTTTCCCGTTGACGTTGAAAATTTATCATGAATACACGCCATATGAAAATGTCGATTTATTCCTAAATATCAGAAATTCTACATTAAATTTCTTCGTCATGATAAAATCTAGGTAAAGGGAATCTAGACTACTTACCAACAGGTTTGTGTCCCTTCATTGAGTGGAATAAACTGACTTCTAATTCTGGAGTCCAAACTAAAGACTCTTCTGTAGACGCCATCTTGGTTTTGGAGTTGGTCTTTGTCCGCATGCGCCAAGAATGTATCCGCTGGTCATTTCCAGAGTGCTCTTTGAAATATATTCTAAAAACCGATAAAAAATTTTAAACTCTGATCAATCCTTTAAAAGCCATATTGTATAAGGTATCCTTTCAAAGCAGAAAAAGCTTTTGAAACGGCTTCAAAAAATTAGAAAATTTAAGTTTAATTTTCATGTACATGAATATACAGATGTTGGTGGGGCTGGGAGAAGGAGAGAGATTCGCGCAACCTTGAGAAACATCTCTAAGAACCAGGGCCGGAGAAAAAACCTTCAAGTGAACCAGCACTGCCCCGTCCAACCTATCAACGTCGAAAAAGATTTAGCCAAAGAAATGTTTAGTCAATTTTACGATATTGAGAGATTTAGCTTCAGAATTTTTCTCTTCCTTACACTTGCATATAAGTGGTGTATTTTCGCCTCTTAACGCACCGTCACGAGCCGGTTCGCCATTCTCGGCCGCGTCGTACGTAAGTGCCCCCACTTTTTCCATACTAGTCTCTTATATTTTCCAATTTTACTGAGCCAACCCACTTTCTAGGATGGTCCGCGCGATGCTTGTTGATGGTTCTTTACTGTGCTTTGAGACGGTTTTTCTCAGAGTTCACTGAGTACGGTTWCCGCGTGATCACAGTGACTCAGTGCGAACGCCACAATAAGCCTCTAAATTTTGAATTTTATTCAATAARAAGCTAGGGGCACTCCCCTCTGTGAAACTATGTATTGAAATCCCGCCCATCCAGTCAAAATGCCTATCCCATCTCTAAAACAAGATACAAGGCAAACGCAAGGCATCTAGAACTAAAAAAGCTTTCGTACGTTAGAGCCAACAATTAGTTTTTATGGCTAGTTTTTAAAAATGAATTAAAGTTATATATATATATGTGTGTGTGTTGAATTTTGTTTGCAACACACGGTTCATTGACACACTAAATGACAGATCATAAAGTTCATTAAAGAAGAAAAACCGTGTTCATTGTTTGCTAGCCATCTCAGATTATCTTAGATGACAAGGCAATAAAATCTGCCATTGCGATGCAGTAACGATTGTCAAATTTCGATCAATAAGTCTGTCTTTTTAATTTCTTTATATATTTTATATCGTATATCTGAATTTATAATATATCTTGCAATATCGGAAAGAAATTTAAGTTCTGTGGGGTTAACAGGAGCTGCAAGATCGTAGACCTCACACTAATTCGCTTCAACAATGTCCAAGTCAAGMTATAAAGTGAAATACAATGTCCAAGACGAGATATAGAGAGAAACGATCTTTTTTGATTTCGTGTTAATTGAAGCCTACTCAGACAGCAAATCATAGAAAAGCAAATAAGAACTTTCGAATTTAACAGGTCTTAATCAAAACTAGTTAAGCCTTCAAGCAAATCAGCAGGTCGTAGCTTTTCCTCCTGCGCCACCTTCAGGGTAGAACAAATGAGATAACAACACCGAAATTTATCCTACATTACCATTTGCACTACACGCCATAACCATGAATTGAAGGATTTAATGAATTTTTCAGTTGATTGGAGAGATGAGTGCAAGGATTTGAGTGCACTGACACGATGCAGACATAATGCAGTACATTAAAAAAATATGAGGGTATTTTGATAAGTAAACGAAAATTTGATTCTCTGATCATTTCCCCATTGCTCTTCATCTGACCAGAGTGTTATATAGTTCAAGAGAATCTTCAACGAAGTACGTCCAGTTCAGTATGCGTTCTTGTTGCCTTTTGGTTTTCCTGACCATCTTAACCACTGGGAACAGTTTGTCCTTTTTCCCGATACCCCAAGATAGTTACCATGATTTTTCGAGTAACGCCATGCACGGAGGAGATCATTTTCCGCTACAAAAGAGATCCTCAAAGCAAGATGACGAGTTCCCATACCAAAACATCCGCTTGCCAAAAAATATTAAACCCAAAACCTACAAAGTTTACATCAAAACAGAGCTACCAGACAACTTTGACTTCAGTGGTCGAGTCGAGATCGAAATAAAGTGCATTAAAGCCACCAAATATGTGATCCTACATTATAAGAAACTAGTAATCAAGAGCTACCAACTACTGAATTCTCGGGGACGAGAGGTTAGAGTCATGAGAATGTTAAAGAACGAAGCAAATGAACAGATTTTGCTGGAAGCGAAAAATGATCTTGGAGAAGGGAGTGAATACAAGATAAAAATCTCGTTTGAGGGTCAGCTCTCTGAAAAGAATGTTGGATTCTATAAGAGCTCATATAAGACGGCGAGTGGAGAAACACGGTAATGCACTAGTCATGCATTTGAAGCCCCCACTGACCGCCAAAATGTTCGCGCCAAAACGCCACGTATGCTCGCCCCTGGCTTGATCGAGCTTTGGTACTTTTGCTCGACCTACTATTGATGGTTTTCAACCATTCCAAGATAATTAAATAACAAAAGACATGGCAGCCATGTTGGAGGATATAACGAAAGAATTCATTGACAATTCTTTTGTTAAAGTCCTCCAACATGGCCGACGTGAAAACCATCAATACCTTACATTGCTATATCCCATGGCGGGGTAAAGGCCCCAGTGCAGGCCTTCTTGCTACGCCACGGTATAGAATTTCTCAATTCCAACACTTTTTTAAATGTTTTAAAGTTTTAAAAAAGTTTAAAAGTATTTTTAAATGTTTTGATTGCTTTATAAATTGTTTTCCTGAAAGATACCTTGGTGCGACTCAGTTCCAACCTACTGACGCAAGAGCTGCATTCCCATGCTTCGACGAGCCTGGATTCAAAGCAGTTTTTGAGATAACCATCGAACATAAAGAAGAAAACAACGCTATCTCCAACATGCCTGTCAAAAGCCGAACAGAAAGCAACAACGGTTTTGTGGTCACTAGCTTCGAGCGTTCGGTCAAGATGAGCACGTATCTTGTAGCGTTCGTCGTTTCGGATTTTGAATCCAGATCCGCTCGAACAACCGCTGGTACTCAGGTTTGTTGCACTATTCATTTGTGTTTCGTTTTGTATAGTTTTGACACGTAGTGACAATAGACCCTTTGGCGCGTTCCAAAATTCCGCTGTGTTCCTTGATTACAGACTCATTTCACTGTCTAAATATTCACAAATACCGACGGCAAAATAAAAAGAATGCACAACTTCAACAATAGAGGCTTTGCACCATCACGTGATGGCAGCCATGACAGTAGGCACAACAATAGTCTTTTTCGCCCCTGGGAAAGTGAATTCTTTCTCATGTAAATCAGACTAGACCAGATTCAATAGACCATTTCACAGATCCCGCAGCTCAACCTCAGCCTCATCAGCGTGTAATATATTCTTTAGAAATTGCCTACAACCTGTGAAATTTTTAAGTGTTTCAATTGTTCGTTGATGTGTAAATTCCTTTCATTACTGCGGACTGTAGTCAAATCCTAAAGAATAATTGCACGCTGACGAGGCTGAGGTTGAGTAACGGGATCCGTGAAATGGCCTATTGTTCCTGCCTCCTGTCATGGCTGCCATCACGTGATGGTGCAAAGCCGCTATATACAAACACTTTTGAAATTCCTGACCTTCACTGGAACACATAAATATTCTAGCTACACAAAATCAAGGCTAACCCTGAGCAACAGAGAACTCAAAACTAGAGTACTGCATTACAATGCATTGTGGGGCTGTTCTTTATTTCCAAGATGGCGTCCGAGATTCGCCTAAAGCATACCCACAATGCACCGTAATGCCAGACTCGACCAGTTTTTTTCTAACGGCTAATAGGACACGATATCCTCACAAATTAAACCTACTGAGACTTCTTGTTTAACCCAAATTAAGTCTTCGTTTTTTACGTATAATATCTGACAATAGGACGTTTGCATGATGGCGTCATTTGACTGCCACTACCATAATGCCTTGCGAATTTCCTTTCTCATTTAAACTTGCATTCCCTCATGAGAACTGTGAGACAGTGTGCAAGGGAGTCTGCGGGTAGTAGAGGTCAATCACGATATCATGTAAACGTCGTATTCAATATACTCTTTTACGAACATCTTCTTTCCAGATCCGAGCTTGGACCTCTAGAGACAATTTACCGAATACCGAATTTGTGCTGGACGTCGCCAAGAAAGTGCTGACATACTTTGAAGAATATTTCAATATTCCTTTTCCTCTTCCAAAGCTTGGTAAGTGCACCTGGTCTGGTTTGCTATTGTGCCAATATGAAATTCATGGTTCCGACTCATACGATGGCGAATCAATCACCGTTGCAGCAGTTTTTTCCAGTGGAACTCCAATATCTGTTTTAAAGAGTACTACGAGGATTAAGAGGCAATTTTTTATTATTTTCACAGGACTGTAAACTATTGACACAATTTATAACCAATTTTCCGCGATCAAAGTTTTAAATTCTGAGATATTCTATAAAATTTGTTAAGCTTTTGGGACATAGCAACGGTAACTAAGGGGAGTTGGAACGATGAATATGTTGCGCTCATTTACTTATCGTTTTGATTAGTAAAAGTACTAATTTTAGGATGTTGTGTATCCAGATCTGGTTGGTGTGCCAGACTTTCTTGCCGGTGCAATGGAAAACTGGGGACTTATCACATACCACGAAGGGTTCTTCTTAAGTAACGAGGCTTCAGCTACCGCCAATAGCAAGTATTGGATTGCTATAGTTACTTCTCACGAATTGGCCCATCAGGTATTGCAAAAAGCGTCGGCTTTGAAAGCCAAAATAATTGAATTTAACTTTAATTTAAAACTTGTTTGCATCTTAATATTTGACCGACTAGTTAGATTTCACTGAAACAATTAGTCCTCGAGTACGAATGGGCTAGGAGTGAAAGGCCCATTTGGCCTTCGGCCTCATGGAACATTGATTCATAGCCCATTCATGCTCGAGGGCTAATTGCTAAATAGCTCTTGTCATTGACATAGTCAGAATCGAGTGGGTGTTTGGTATTTCAAGTTAACCTTAAAAAATTCTTGTACCAGAAAAGATTCTTCTTGCCCTATCAGCAATTAAAATTAATAAAAACAAAGCATAAATGCTATAAAAGTAAGCGAAATCGGTGTGGTTGTYTTAATAAGTCACCAGCCGCCATTTTGATTACCGTGCGATATTATGAATTAGGAGACTGGGTATTAGGAACTGTTCTATTTGATAAATAATCCTTTGCGCACTTCGAGGCGAGATCACCTGGTTTGAGTTCAATACTAATTATTGGCATTATATCATCAAAATTAAAAGTGACCTTAAAACTAATGACTTTCTGTTATTTTAAATATCGGCGTACAGTGGTTTGGAAACCTCGTGACGATGAGATGGTGGAACGACTTGTGGTTGAATGAAGCTTTCGCTAACTATATGATGTACTTGGGTGTAGATCACTATGCAAAGAGCTGGAAAGCGGTGCGTAAACTACATCCGTATACAGAGATAATATAAAATAATTTTCACGTAAAACGCTACTGCAACAAGTTCACTAGAATCCACCATTCAATAAAAGGAAATACCGTGCGCGCGAAAAGAAAACTGAGAATGGCTCAGCTGAATGAATCTCAGGAATCTCGTATCAGCTTTCAGTGTAGGGCAAACACTACCCACATTTCTACTAAAAACGTTAACTTGCCATTTCAGACGAGAACATTACCCTATTTCTAATTTGAGTTGTGTCGTCTATCTCATTTCAGTTCGACCTTTTCGTCATGGAGACACAACAATCGGCCCTACAAGAAGACAGCCTGGCAACCACCCATACAGTCTCTGTAGAAGTAACCAATCCAAGCCAAGTTAACGAGATCTTCGATGCGATTTCATATAATAAGGTGGGTGTTCATTACAAGAAGCCATGTTTGAGAAAATGATAAATCATTTCTAATAACATGTATCTTTGTAGCCTCCAACGCAGACGTTCTTAGTTTCTGTCACTCAATGTCACGAACGTTATTCGTGGGGAGGAAAACGTTGCGTGACAGAAATTGTTGCGAAATCCACACGCTTTTGAGGTTTGGCTAAATCAGAGGCATGATGTGGGGTAAAGTATTTTTTATCCTGTTTTCAGGGTTCATCTGTTCTTCAAATGTTAAAAACCGTTCTCGGGGCTGACGTCTTCAAGAAAGGCTTGGAGGTATAAACATTTTTAAGCTTTCGATTGTATTTCAGCGGTTCTTAAGCGCGCGCAATGCGAACATGCGCCGACCAAATTAACTCGTAACTTTCATAACGTGACTGTTATTGCAGAAATACTTGAAAGAAAATCAGTACGACAATGCTGAGGTAGATGATCTGTGGAAATCGCTTACCGAGGTATATAATAATAAACAATTGCAATTGCGTTATAACCAGCATGGAACAGACACCGATTGCTGAAGACAGTAAATGTCTGTCTTAGAATCAATTCATTCTGAAGGTACCGTGATTAACTAAAAAAATTTATAAATTTGAGTTTGTTGGTCGGACACTGTTTATTCCATTGGGAAAACTACCAATTGTTTGGATGGACGCTAAAACATAGTAAACATGCGAACTAGAGTTGCACGCTGAAATTTAGTTTAACGAATCAGTCGGTACCTACCCTGCGAGCAGAGGATTTTTTTGAAACCCTCTCCCATCTCCCAACGGTTTCAAAAAAATCCTCTGCTCGCGGGGTAGTCGGTACCTTCCATATTTTTAACTGGCGGCAGCGAAAAAACAACTTTCAGCAATCAGCTCGCAGCTACTGAGTTGCATGTTTAAGAAAATAGCAGTAATACCGATCTCAATTGCAACTCCATTAATTTACTGCAGGTGGCGAGAGGCATTGATGTCAAGACTGTCATGGATACTTGGATCTACCAAAAAGGTTACCCAGTAATCGAAATCAAAAAGGATGGAAACAGCCAAACCAGAAAGACTGCAACACAAACCAGGTTCCTGAATGGTTTGAACCCATCTGATGAAGGATATGAAGAAGAAGCTAGAGGGTGAGTACCAACACGAGTGAAAAAACGTTTGCGCATGCTCTTAATCCGTATGCAAATTAGTCAAAACATCCTCATGCTTTTGTAAAAATACTATGTAAATTTGTCTTTCAAGTAATATTTCAAACACGCGAGAGAGTTCTTCCTCCGATTTCCAAACACCGAAAAGTGAGTTGAAAAAACGAGGCGCAGCCGAGTTTTTTAACTGACTTTGAGGTGTTTGGAAATCGGAGGAAGAACTCTCTCAAGTGTTTGAAATTACTTCTCATACTCATGAATATTTCTTGGAGAAAATCAAAGAAAAAGTTTAAGAAATTTAATGCAAATTAAGAACACATTTCCAAACCACCGTCACAGTAGTGATTTGCTTTGTTTTCTCCTCATTAAACATTCATGAGTATGAGAAACATGCCTGATAAATGGCTTGCCAAAATTAAACTTCCAGTCAATGCATACGTAGCCTATTTCGAATGTATCCTAAATCCTAATTTGTTTGTTGTATTTATGTTATAGTGTATTCTAACTATTCAGCTGTATTTTGTAACTTTGTATTCTTTTTCAGAAAATAAAAATAATAAGTTTTTCAAAAAAAGCGATAAATATGGCAAAACATGTAGTTTATATTACTAAAGATTGAAAAACCGGGTGAAAATTTCCATAAGAATCTGTCTAAAAAACTCAAAATTTCGATGGGATTTTTGCGTGAAAATAAATCGATAACTAATCGATATTTGATTGATGTGGTTTTAGATTAGAGTGGTACGTGCCATTGACCTCAGTGACATCAAAATTCCCCAACAATCCAACTACGACATGGATGAATAAAACTTCAGGTAAATTCTATCAAAGCAGAAAGGTCTTATCCATATTCTTATATTAATGTTGTCGTCGATTATAGTTTCCTGATCCCAGTTTTACTAAACCAAAAGCAAAAATTACGGCGATTACTCAGTGCATGAGAGCATGAGAACTCGGCCGGAGATAGAGAGGACGTTTTGGCGGGAAATGCTTGCCAAATTGAGAGAGGGCGACGAGCGCGCACGTTTTGGCGGGAAATGCTTGATGCATCCACAGAAACTCAGAATGAAGATGGGAAGAATTAGCTTCCTTTCAATCACTTGGTGGTCTAGCTTGGTCTTGCTTTCTTCATAATGGCGGAACTCCCGAACCAAGCAGAACCGGTTAAGAATGAAATAAAAATCGTTGTTTTTGTATTCACATTTTGACGACAGCGACTTTCGATGTCCCGTCTGGTGTGAAGTGGATCAAAGCAAACTACTTGCAAACCGGTTTTTATCGAGTCAACTATGACGAACAGAACTGGAGAAACCTTATTCAACAACTCAAGGACGATCACGAGGTGGGTTGTAACGAGTGTAAAAGTTTTATATCAACGTTCCGAGACTATGCTCGCGCGTAAAATTATACTCCTATCTTTCATTCTGTTTGTCCGTCTGTCTGTCTGACTGACTGTCTTTCAGTCTGCCTGTCTGTCTGTCTGACTGACTGTCTATCTGGGTCTGAGTTGCGTAATCTTAAATATATTGCTTAGTGATTGACATGTCTCTTGCAGGTCTTCGAGTCCACAGAAAGAAGTGGACTAATTGATGACGCTTTCAATTTAGCAAGGTATCTCAGAAATCGTTCAAAAAACTGAATTTATTACAACGTAAAAAAGTATTGGTAATTAAGCTTCCAATGATACGCTATCGGGATTGGTCGGTGAACTATACGGATTTTCAGACTATATGTGGTTGAAACAAATGTAATGGATTTAAAACAAGTGCGCAAGGAAATGGGCTTTGACTGTGTATCTATCGGCTATTGTTTTGCTGGCAGGGCATTTTCTCATTAGCTACTATTAAAGTGCTTATAAGCCTTTGCACAATATTTTCAGAATTGATTCTTTAGATAGTGAATAGTTGATTGTGAAAATATTTCGTCATTTGAATGTCGGGTCTTTGAGATACGAAGGTTTATATTTCCAATATGTTAATGACTATGACGTAACATAAGGGATTTGAGTTATTTTGTGGCAACTTTTAATATTGAACGCTGGACATTTTTTGAAAACAAATTTGTAAGAMSCTTTACGTGATTCACGAGTAAAAGGGTGATGCTTTTAATATACTGTATTCCAGAACGAGTGCAGTATTGTATATTAAATGATCCCTTATGAATATAAACCTTCGTATCTTAAAGACCCAACATTCAAATGACGAAATATTTTCACAATCAACTATTCACTATCTAAAGAATCAATTCTGAAAATATTGTGCAAAGGTTTATGAGCACTTTAATTCATGGGTTGCACTGAAGTATTCCCAAGAGGGTCAACAGACAAAACCATGGCGGCCATATCATATCATCTTGGTTCGATTAACAATAGATGCTAAACAGCAATCGCTTGTTAAATAAAACCAACATGAACGCTATGACGTAACGTGCGATCAAAGAATTGCTCCATTTTTTTTTCGATCAAAGAATTGCTCGTGTCAGCGGTCTTCCTTAACTCTTAACAAAGACCGCTGACCCTACAGACAAGCAGATGCAGATATGGGTTTAAGTTTTTTGTTGTTTTCTACTAAATATTTTTATCTTTACAGATGTAAGCTGTTAGATATGGATATTGCACTTGATATAAATTCTTACCTCGGTAATGAGAGAGATTACATCCCATTTGCTTCCTCGGTCAAAAACTTGAATTACATTGGAAACATGCTTGGTTTGAGACTGGCTCACATTAAATTCCAGGTAGAAACAAATCCAATCTACGTGAAATCATAAAATGAAATGTCCTTCATGGTCTCTCGATCAAATCTAAATAAAACCACAGCCGTAATTTTACGCCTTTTATTACCAGAAATATATGAGACAGTTGATGAAACCTCTGCTGAGGTACGTTGGATGGGACAACAGCGGCAATTTGCTGAAAAGGTAAGTGAGACAAAATCCTGATCTCATTTTTTTATTACAAAAAGGACGATATAACGCTCGCTCTGATTGGTTAAACTAACACCTCAGATCCTGTCAGATCCAGGTGTACGTGACGTCACGTCTAAGTTGAAAAATTCCTCTGTCAGCTTAATATGGTTGAAGTTCCCAGTTAAGACAATTTTCTAAATAAGTTGAACATGCATACATGAAGAATACAGTGTGTGCAACCATGTGACTCAAAATTCCTCCAGATATAAATAACAATGAAACAGCCGCCATCTTGGTTGATCTAACAAGAGAAGCTAACGAGGAATGCTATCGTCATTAAAAATGGTGGATATGACGTAACGTCCACGTGCTCTATATGGTAAGAGAGAGAGAGAGAGAACACAAGTTAATTTGTAAAACCTTCAGTGGTAAAAATAAACGCAAGTTTTAAACCGTGATCTGTGGCGAACTACAGCCGTTGGGCATTCGACAACAAATATTTGATCGTTATTTAATGAATTACCTTTTTAGCAATCTACGCCAAACTGTTCTTTATATTTTGGGTTACCATGGTGATAAGGAAGTTGTCGCTGAGAGTCTTAAGAGATTCCGCGCCTGGATGAGAGACGAGACGTAAGCATGTGGTCTGTCTGTATTTTAGATATACTCATCTCAAAAAAGTTAGTCACCATCTACCATCCACATACTCTACCATACTCATCACTCACATACTACCTACACTCATGACCATCTACCATCAACAAACCTTACCATACCCATCACTCACATACTACCTACACACATGACCATCTACCA